CTGAAATATTTGTAACCTTGACCCAGCTTTCGAATGGATTCTTCCATATTTGGTAATGGTGAAGAATCTTTGATTGTGATCAAGTTTAATTTTTTATAATCCACTACGAAACGATAAGAACCATCTTTTTTCTTGACAAGGATAGCAGGTGCTGCATATGGAGAATGAGATTCTGAAATTAAACCTGCTTGTAAAAATTCTTGGATAATAGCATACATTGGTTCTTCTTTATCTGGTTGTGGATATGGTTTGCAAGCTGGGGGTGTATGTGGGATTGTATTAATAACATGATGAATGGGTGTATCAGCAATATTATGTTCAGTTGTATTAAAAATTCGATGGAAACGGGATAAAAGTGCGAGAAGAGCATCATGATATTGTTTATGTTGTAGTTTGGTAGCTAATTCGCGAATATCTTTATCAACCTGTGGGTGTATCGAAGGAATTGTATAACAAGCAATGGGATTTGTAATGACATCAGAATTATACTGGTTTTGTACTGGAAAATATTTCGAAGAGTTGTTCGAATAATGATTAGTCGATTTATCCGTGACTAAGTCAAGAGAGACTGGCATCTCGCCAAAAGATTTGACGGCACCACGTGATTTAGTCGTTGGAATCGACGTGTGGATATTTCGTTGTTGAACGATATAAGAACATAAGAATCCAATACAAACGCCTTTAGTAACGAATTGTGGATAAAGAGTTGTATTAGATAATGTTATAGTAGAAAAATGATTGTAAAATTGAAGAAGTTTATGTGGAATATATAAAGCACTATTTAGTATAAAGTGTTGATGAGGAATAAATGGTGAACTAATAGACGAAATAGGAATGGAAACTTTAGCTGTACGATTTGTATTAGGAGGAAGATGTAAAGATTTGGATAAAGTTATTGGAATAAGTTGAGGTGAATAATTTTGATTGATATTCATATAGTATCGACGATCATTGATCTCAATAGAAATCAATTGATGTTTTGTGTCGATTGTGAGATTATAGCGGGTAATGTAATCCATTCCGAGAATTATATCGGTGCATAAATTTTTAGCAACATGTGCTTGAATTGTGGTTAGTTGATTTGCGAATAATATTGATAATTCAACAGTACCTAATACGTGAAAAGGTGCTAAACCATCAGCTAAAACGAATGAATGAGTATGTTTTTTGACGAAATTATAATATTGGAGTTTTTGTAATGATTTGTGGTTAATAAAGGTTTTGATTGCTCCGGTGTCCACTAAGAGTTGTAGTTTTTGATTATTAACTAATGTTGTGAGAAAAATTAATGAAGGTTGTGATGGATTATGTTTTTTATATCCGGAGGCAACACCATCGTTCGATGTCTCCGGTGCTAGAAATTTGGACAGGCACTAGCCTGATGCCCAAATTGTTTACATTGAGTACAATAATCAGTAGGTGTAGATGATTGTTGTAAATCAGGTTGTATTAAATCATCTAGTGGGAGTAAACTACTAACATTAGTTTGTCGCGGATTATTACGAGAAAATGTCTTTGGACGTTGTTGAGGATTTGGTTGTTTGTTATTATTTGTATTATAAGCATTTGATGATCTTTGTTGATTAGAACGAAATCGTTGTGAAGCGATATTGGGTGAAAATCGCGATGATACAGGTGATTTCGTTAATGAAAATGTTGATTGACGGGGTTGAGATGATGAATTATATGAAAGTAATGGATATGATGTACGATAATTGTTTTTATTATAATTAGTAGGATAACGATTAGCAAATTTCTTCCAATTTTGTGGTTGTGACATGGTAGAAAAAGAATTGGAGTAATTGTGAATCATAGGTGGAACTGATGTAAATGGTAATGTAGGTGATGTAGTATTAGTGTTACTATTGATATTGGTATTTGTATGTGTATTAATACTAATATTGGATAGTTGATAAAGATCTTCAATTTCTTTGGCATATTCGAGAAATTCTTTTGTAGTTGTAGGTTTCTTTCGACGAACTTCAAATTGAATTGTTGGTTTTGTTTTATTGAGAAGATATCGTAATTTAGCAGATTCGCTCATAGCTGGATCAGCTTCTTTACAAAGTTTAATAACTTCATTGTAATAATTACGGATCGATTGATTTTCTCCTTGAGTACAAGCTTCGAGTTTTTGAAATGCTAATTCTTCATGATAAGATGAAGTAAATGCCTTTTTAAATTCAGATACGAATATTTCCCATGAAATGAATGTATTTTTATGATTTGTGTACCATCGAAGGGCTTCACCTCGAAGTGAATAGGATATTAAATCCAATTTATTTGTGTCAGAAATATGTGCTACATCAAATAAATGTTCGATGTCTTCTAGCCATTTCATAACATCATCTTTGCCACCTTGGAAAGTTTTTGGATTTTTTATTAAATTTTGTAGTAGAACTTGACGAAGTACACTAGTTGTATCATCAGGATCAGAAGTATTAGTATTAGAGTTAGTGTTAGTATAATTTAATGTTAATTGTGAGACTAGTGACTCGCCACGTAAAGCAGCGGCACTGGGTTCATTCAATGCGGTTGAATGATGTTTCGGTGGTTCTTCAGAAAAATGAGAGTTATTAAAGGTCGTCATAGTTTGTGAACCTTTATCTTCAAATGATGGTGTTTGACGAACTAAACTACATTGACATAAGACGGTATTCTGTTGGTTGTGAATTGTTGATTGAATATCTTCTTTATCGAAATGTAGTAATAAAAGTTTCTGAAAATCGGTAAATGATCGAAT